TGCAGAAGACCAACAAAGGTCTTCAACTAAAAATGAAGAAGCTGGAAGACCAAGCCGAGGCTGCAACTAAGGCCCAACAGATAGCCGAGGAAAAAGCTGAATCAGTCGAGGCCATAAGGAAGGTCGCCGAAGCAGAGAAGATAGAGGTCGAGGACAGAAAGGCCCAAGCCGAAAAGGAACTGCAGGAGGCCCTGGCCACCAAGGATGCTGAAACCAAAGAAGCTGATGAGAAGGCTTACGCCCAGGGCATGGCCAACGTCACTGAGGAATACAAACTTCAGGTCAGGCAGGTATGCAACAGGGGCTTCTCCCTTGGTTGGATGTCCCTGATAAAGAAACTTGATCTTCCTGCCGATTCACCCTTTCGTAATGCCGATGCTATCCCTCTGCCGTTCCCCCCACCTCCTCCATCAAGTCAACCTGAAGGCGAATCTGAGTCTGAAGGTGAGGAGGAAGATGAGGACGAGGTTTTGGTAAGGAAATCCAGGGAGGCTGTTGGAGCTAAGTCTCCTTCTCTGAATGAGCAAGTCTTGGACCTGACTCAAGATGAAGATGGTGATGCAGTTGCCAAGGAAGCTACCCCGGAGCAGGGTTCGTCCGACGTTCCTCAAGTCAACAAGAGTATTGACGAAACTCTTGCCGAGATTGATGCCGAAATTGCTGCAGATAAGGAAGCTGAGGTATCTCTTCAGGAGACTTCTGAGGTTCAGATCCAGCCAGATGCTGATGTTTGAAAAGTCTTAACTTTCATGTCTTTTCTTTTGCACCCTTGTACTTTGTTTTGTTTAAGATATAACTTCTAAATTTGAATTATGATTTAATAATATAATTATGTATTTTTTTTATGTATATCTATCAAAATTTTAAATCACTTAATGAGACAAATTAATCAATTTTCCAAAATTATTGATTTTTAATTTTCAAAATAAATTAAAAAAACTATTGATTGATTTATTTATTTAATAACAAAAATATTTCATAATCTCTCCCAACTAATCTCTCTCACAAATTTTCAAAAAAAATATTAAAACTTGCATTCCTGTTCCCTTCCCCAAAAAATCAGATAATATTTTTTGTTAAAGTTGTAGATATCTACCTACATTTTATATATTATATTATAACATAACAAAAAAAAACTAAAAAAGTGAGTTTTATTAATTTAAAGTTTATTAATAAACTTTAAAGATTATTTTTTTAGTTTTTTAGTTTTTTTTTGTTATGTTATAATATAATATATAAAATGTAGGTAGATATCTACAACTTTAACAAAAAATATTATCTGATTTTTTGGGGAAGGGAACAGGAATGCAAGTTTTAATATTTTTTTTGAAAATTTGTGAGAGAGATTAGTTGGGAGAGATTATGAAATATTTTTGTTATTAAATAAATAAATCAATCAATAGTTTTTTTAATTTATTTTGAAAATTAAAAATCAATAATTTTGGAAAATTGATTAATTTGTCTCATTAAGTGATTTAAAATTTTGATAGATTTACATAAAAAAAATACATAATTATATTATTAAATCATAATTCAAATTTAGATGTTATATCTTTTTGAGATCTATAGCTAAATTCTTATCTTTTTTTATTTTTATTTTTGTGTGTAAATATAGTGTATGGAAGAAATTGAAAAGGGTGTTGCAATAATTATGAGAGAGTCAAAAGGGATTGTGGGTTAGGAGAAGTCAATAAATGCTGAGATTGGGTTGGAAGAAGTCAATAAATGCTGACGTTTTTTTTTAAATTAAAAAATTAGAAAATTAGGATTAGGATATTGGAGCTCTCACAGGCCTTGGGGTTAAAAACCCCTTTTTGCTTAATATATAGTATAGACTAGCATATCACCCGTGCTATGCACGGATTGTGTTTACAATTATCTATATATGTGAATTGCGATTTTTAAATGTGTTTTTTATTTTTATTTTAAATGTCTTCTTTTTTTCTTTTTTTATATTATATTAAAATTTAATATTTTGATAATAATCATATGTGTTAGACTTTTCAAGGAATAAAATGTCTTTTTTTTATTATTATTATATTATATTAAAGTTTAATATTTTGAAAATAATCATATGTGTTGGCATTTCCAAAAAGTTTTTTTTTATACTTGCTCTTAATGTATTAAAATGTTATTATGAAGGATAATAATCATATGTGTTGGGACTTTTCAAGAATTTCATATGTGTTGGATTTCAAAGAATTTTTTTTTTATGCTTGTTCTTAATGCATTAAAGTGTTATTATGAGGGTAAGACTTGGGGGTTGGGAAAGGTTAATAAATCCTAAGTTTTTTTTTATTTTTTTAAATCAAAAAATCAGGAAATTTAGATTGAGAGATTGGAGCTCCAACAAGGCTTGTGGTTAAAAACCTATTTTGCTTAATTTATAGTATAGATACTAGCACAACACCCATGCTATGCACGGATTGTGTTTACAATTATCTACATATGTGAATTACGATTTTTAAATGTATTTTTTTATTTTTTAAATGTCTTCTTTTTTCTTTTTTTTTTATTATATTAAAGTTTAATATTTTGATAATAATCATATGTGTTAGACTATTCAAGAAATTAAATGTCTTTTTTTCATTATATTATATTAAAGTTTAATATTTTGATAATAATCATATGTGTTGGACTTTTCGAGAATTTTTTTATGCTTATTCTTAATGCATTAAAACGTTATTATCAGGGATAATAATCATATGTGTTGGGACTTTCAAGGAATTCATGTGTTGGATTTCAAAGATTTTTTTTATGCTTGTTCTTAATACATTAAAGTGTTATTATGAAGGTAAGATTTGGGGGTTGGGAGAAGTTAATAAATGTTAAGTTTTTTTTTTTCTTTTTTAAATCAGAAAAACAAGAAATTTAGATTGGGAGATTGGAGCTCCCACAAGGCTTGGGGTTAAAAACCTCCTTTTGCTTAATATATAGTATAGACTAGCCTATCACCCGTGCTATGCACGGGTAATTATAGATATTTAAGAATTTTTTGGGACTTTTCAAGAAATTCATATGTGTTGGAT